CTTTGACTGGGTAAAATAAACATTTGCACCAAACTATAAAATGAAGCAAGCCCAATAACTGAACCCTTTAGTTGAATTAAAACTTTTTGTCAATTCTAAATATCACCAAGTATGCTTGGGTGACAGCTTGAAACACGTGGTGTACAATATATTTATGCATTTGTCAGCAAAGAAAAAAGAAAAGCCTAATTACAATAGAATGTATCCGCAACATTCTGAAAAATAATTATTTTAACCCTTTAAATTCACTATCTGAACTCAAGTAACATGCTCTCTACAATTTTTATAATTGCTTGCAAATCTTTATTTTATTACACGGCACGCATTCTGTACACTGGTTTTATGATTCTGACCTTATTTGACTCGTAATGCTTGTTCTATTTACCCTCAATACAAAAAGTCTTGTTGCTATGACGCATCCTCCCCATTTTGCCCAGTACTTTTTTGCAGGCTGTGATAAGTCCAATTAAGCTACCACAAAGAAGCACATTGAAGTGCTGCGATACACACACCTAATTCCATCCATTGTTTTTACAGAGAAGAACTTAATGGCAACAAAGGTTATTGGAGAGCATGTGTGATCTGCACCTGAGCTGAGCATGGAGATAAATAGGGTGATTGCATGTGCATGCCATAATACAGAGAATATCCTATAAGGAAGATTCCAAAATAGTACTGAAGGGACATAAAAGGTCCAGGTTTAGTCAGTACAAAGAAATTGAACTGAAATACTAAAACCCCAGATTGTTGATTTGCCTTTAGACCAAATTTGTTAATTACTGTTACAAACTCACTTGCATGTGTGTGCATTCCCAGCAAATACAAAATTTCCAAAACTAGAAAACTTTTCAAGTGTGCAAGAACAAAAGTATTTGCACCATAATTAATTCATTGCTGAAGAGGCTATGGACTGGAGGCATGTCAGGTAATCTATGCCCCTCCCACCACCCCCATCATAAAAAAAAATGAATAAAATATCACTTGATGACATGTTATAGAATAATCACTATTATGCCCAAGACAATGTGTCAATTCACCCCAATCATTCTTGACTGACTAAAAACCAACAAACCCAATATGCTGGACTGATTCTACTTTACTCGGAATAATAAAAGCCAGCCGCTTTGCCAGACCCGCTCTTTAGCTGTTCGGCAGAACATCCTTTCCTCTTTGTGGGTACAAGCCGCCTGTTCTGCTTCTGTATCTCGTAGGTAGTCTGCACTGGCTTTCCACCAAACCTGAGAGATAAGAATGAATGAAATATATAAAAAATGTTAAAAAAAAAAAAGTAATTTTTACAGGACAAATGTACAAATGGTCAGTAAAACATTACACAAGAGACCACAATAAACGCTTTGCTTGCCACAGACAAGGCAGAAGAAGGAAAAGAGGGAAAAGTTTCTAAGATCTCCCCCAAAATAATGCAATAAACTACAGCAAAAGAACAAATCTAATTGCAAAGTGGGAGACTTTGCAGTTCACAAGAGGGAAAACAAAAACAAAACTACACACACACACACGTGATAAACATATTAAAGTTTCTCTATATGAAGAGAAAGTCTATAAAAAGAACACATAATTAAAGCAATAATTTATATATCATTTGTCTAGTAAATGTTCATAATTTCTACTGTAATGTAGCATAATTAGTGTTAGTATTATTTACACAAAAACATCAAATATTTATAATCGCAAAATCAAAAAACTAAACCCGTTATAGTCACCTTACAAAAATAGCGTGTACCCACCTCTCAATGTCTTTTTTGACAATGGGAAATCTGAGAATTTAACAATTTCACCAGTATTTATCTGTAAAATAAAAAAAGTAATAAGTGTAAATTAAAAAAAATATAAAAAAATAAAAGATGCCTTTCAACACAAATGCATTACAATTCAGCCATTAACAAATTATCTTTTTAACAATTTAATTGTTTTTATTTAATCTGTACATTAAACAATTGTAAAAGTTGTCTCAAGAATATGATATAAGCAAATTGTCTAATATCCAACATTAAAATGTAATATAATTACAGAGAAAGTTATTTTAGTTAGGGACAGTTCCATTTTTAATGACAACACGAGACGGCAATGAAGTGTTCACAGAGAAACATCTCAACGTCAAAAGGACAGTGAGGTGACGTGCTTATGTGTAAGCAAAACACATGTAGCACTTTACCTTTAAATATAACAGTGTTACTTACTAAAAATGAGTATCTGCCTGTAATTCAAAAAAAATGTTAAAGTAGGAAGTATGAAGAATTTTTCCAGTTGTTATTTTGGTCTTAAATTGAATTTCACATTAAATTCCTGAAAATTCTTACTTTAGTAAATACACCTGTATATGTCCTAACATTGTGGTTTTTAATAAACGAAAACAAAGTGAAAAAATTATAGTGCATGTAATTAGTTCATATAAAGTTAAAATCATTATATGTAAATTTCTAAGTCATGTCTATGTTTGCTTTTTGTTTAGTGCAGAGCTCAAAATTTACACTTGCCTACTAACCACTGGCAAGTAAAGAACCAGCCCTAGTTAGCAGAAATTCATCACTGGGAGTTGACCCTCCGAAGTTTGCAGTGTTGGGTAACTTCTAGCTCTGTCTAGGAAACCATAACTATTTTAAGCTCTTGTTCCATGTGTAATGTGGAGTAGGTACTCACTGATGTAAAAGCACTTGCTTAGATATATATTTGACATTGACTTTGTGTTATCAACACTATGTCCCCAGAGCATCCCTTTTCTGCATGGTGGTACATGTACATACTAAGACGTGCCAGTGGCCAAAATATTTCGGCAGGGAATCTTTTGTCACAGCAAAATACTGTTATGTCTTTCAAGACAGTTGAATAGACAGGAGAAACATAAAACATTTTTTTTTTTTTTAAGCATGACGAGAAAGTGCTAAACAATTCTTCATATCACATCTGACAAGCGTTGCAGTTCTCAGGGCAATAGTGGTCAGAAAAAAATGCACACAAGGAAAACATGCTACCCACATAGGAAAGACTGCTGAAGTACTTGCATATGGGATAAAAAGCCATGTGTTCACTTTAAATCTAATGGCAGCAAATTAAAACACGTTTGTGTTACTGTACACTTCACAACAATCCACCAGACACTGGGTCACAGAGTTGGCTTGATGGATAACCAGTAGGACTGTGTGCAATAGTGTGATTTTACAATTCTATTATACAGCCTCCCAAACTGAGAGGGTGACATTTAAGTTTCACGGAATCCTGTTTTGGTGGTGGGTCGGGGGAGCGGGAGGGGGAGAGAGAGAGAGAGTTAGCTCAAGCAATTTGAAATCAAAGAAACAGTAGTGACTTTGGTGTTTTGGAATGTCTCTTTAAGACTATACAGAAAGAACAGCTCTTTCTGGCTTATTTAGTGCAAGCTCTGCCTGTTGGAATGATCCACACTACAAACATTGAGCATAGGGCAATAAATAGAATAGCAACCATGGATAGCTGAGGACCATGACAGCACTATTCCACCACAAGATCTAAAGCTGTGTGATCACCACCTCAGAGTACACACATTACAGGACACAGGAGACAGGACACACATTACAGTAGACAGGACACACATTACTGGAGACAGGACACACATTACTGGAGACAGGACACACATTACTGGAGACACATTACAGGTGTGGGTGACCCCTCCTTACCTCTGAATAGCGCTGTACCAGGTAGTTGATGGACTCCTTCTCTATCTGCCATTCGGGTTTCTTGTTCTGCCTCCTGCGAGCCTTGCATTTCTCTTTATTTTTTGTGTATTTCCTCTTCCATTTCTCGAAGTTCCTTACCGGGTCGTTCCTGGGATCAATCAGCGACTTTTTTGGCTTCTCCTGGCTGGTGCTCGGCTCTGCCATGTTTATCCTCCCAGACACTGCTCGCCTGCACTAAAACATGTGTGAGTCGCGCGCTGATGACATCAGTAAGCTGGTTGTAGCTGCCTTCCTGTACTCACGTGTGCGTGTGTGAGCGTCGCGTAGTATTGACGGAGACTGCACGTAGCTTTATTAACACCTGAAATCCTGACAATGCAGCATAGGTTAGAGAAGAACCATAGTGTAGTTCAGCTTGCATTCTCTGCATAACCAGGAGAGAAGAAGGGGGCAGTTATTCACTAAATTGAGAATTGTTGGGAATGCAGAGTAAATTTCAGAATTGAAGCCACACTGGAAGCGTAACTGACTTGGAAAAGTTTTCCACTTCAGCTATTTTACTATCCACTTCAGCTACTCCAACAGAATAAATGCAAGGGCATTTAATGAGAGCCTGTCATACCCATAGCGAGTTTAGCGCTCGTAAAAGAGCTTCACATTTCTCATATACGCTGTGCGTGCCAATGTATAAATTAAAAGAATAATTAAATTAGTTTAAATGCCCTTACATTTATTCTGTTGTAGGGGAACTGTTGTGGAAAAAAGGTCTGCACATATTTCCTAGTTAGTGAAAATGTCTATTTACTCCGTTTAGTTATACTTAATATTATTCAATAAATTACTAAACTGACCACTAGATGTCACTCAGGAGTACCCCACCCATCGACCAAACACTCTAATTTTCAAGATGGCGCTGGAATCCTGGGGGAGAACTCCATGACGACAGTAATGACATAAGAAGGCACACCCTGTAGGACGTGCTTTGAATAAAACACTTAACACTTAACCAATTATTGATGTATTATTCCATGTTATCTCTGACAATGCTTATGATGTAATTTTGCTTTAAAAGGGACCTGCCGTCCCCTCTGAATAAACTTTCCTCAAGTTATTCAACAACCTAGAACCTGTGTCTGGTGTGAATTACTTCAGGGAGCGTGCACGCATTGTTTCATTGATTTGGCCAGGGGCAGATACACAAAGAAATAATCAATACTTTAATTGATTTTTCCATTTCAATTGGCGCCCAACGTGGGGCCCCCGGATTTGCCGGTTCGGAGGGCCGGATACCAAGGACCAGAGCGGACCCCCAGAAAATGGGACAAGCGGAGCCTGATCACCTCCATAATACAGCCGTTGCCTGTGTTATTCTCCTGTTTTGTGTCGGTCTGTCTCCGAGTCCACTTCCGGCTTCCAGAAGGCTACTAGAGACAGGTATTTAGCTCATCCGGGGTACCTTTTTAAAGTGAACCTGTCGATTGTCTATCTGCCTCCTGTATTTGTTTGAATGTGTGTGACGGCCGGAGTGTGTGTTTTCCCCCTTTTTAAAAGACAATAGCTTGACTGCCTAGCGGGCAGGGAACGCATTACAGCCGGTGGGGCTGGGATTTTACAGCCGGTGGGGCTGGGATTTTAAGTTAGCTTGACTGCCTAGCGGGCAGGGAACGCATTACAGCCGGTGGGGCTGGGTTTTATATGTTAGCTTGACTGCCTAGCGGGCAGGGAACGCATTACAGCCGGTGGGGCTGGGTTTTATATGTTAGCTTGACTGCCTAGCGGGCAGGGAACGCATTACAGCCGGTGGGGCTGGGTTTTATATGTTAGCTTGACTGCCTAGCGGGCAGGGAACGCATTACAGCCGGTGGGGCTGGGTTTTATATGTTAGCTTGACTGCCTAGCGGGCAGGGAACGCATTACAGCCGGTGGGGCTGGGTTTTATATGTTAGCTTGACTGCCTAGCGGGCAGGGAACGCATTACAGCCGGTGGGGCTGGGATTTTGTTTGATTACTGCAGAGTTTCATTGGTACTTGTGTTATAACGGGGCCAGCCTGGTGGGGGAGGGCTGGGGATTGCTACATTTTAAATATTTGGTACTAGTGGTGTTAACATGTACATGGCCATTTTACTCTCTGTCATTCTGTGGTTTTTTGTTTAATTGTTGTTACAGTGTGGGTACCCTTGGTGTGTGTGTGTGTGTATGTATATAGTGTGGCTAGTTCTGGATTCTGGGGTTTACACTCATCTCTATGTTTGTGATTTTTGCAAATGTCTTCTTGTTAGTGTAACCACTTTCATCTTTTCATTTGTCCTTTATCTCTCCTGTGTTTGTTGCCCAGAGCTGTGTTAGTCACCCACGCTCGCCCCCTCCGGTCTGTGGCCACCACCCCCGGGTGCACAGACCATCGTGACTAGTCTACGTTTTGGGAAGACGCACGGGTCCACCGTGGCAGTCGAGCACTGTAGACTTTCCTACTTCTTCTTCCCTCTCACTTGGTCTCCTTTACTTGGCAGACCTCGCTTGGTCAAAAAGGGGCAAGTACATGCTAGACCAGCTAAGGGGTATTTGGCTTGTGATATTGTTAAAGAGAGGGCAGGGGAAGAAGCTATGCTGAAAATGAAAAAGTTAGCAAAGATTTCTGGTTTCAAACCGTATAAATCTCTGTCCTTCTGTCTTGTTACTTTACGGAGCTCACATGGTTAATCTTCATGCCTGCAGTTTCTCTCTCTCCCCTTTTTGCACTGTCACACTTTCTCCCGCCCCTACTCCCCGCTTGCCTACATTTCTGCATTTCGGAGCTACTGATAAGAGTTAGAGACGGGATTTTTGCTGGAGAATATTCTAATTGTGTAGTATTGTGTACATTGTTCCATACATAGACGTTGTCAGGCAGGTTATGGAGCTATAATTGTGTAATAATATTATTATTGTTGCCATTTGAATGGCGCCAACAGATTCCGTAGTGCTATATATATATTTATAAATTATGTTTTGTGATAAGGTACTGAGGATTGTGGGAGTGACGAGCTCACAAGATTGCATTCAGTGTTGAATACGGGATTTAGGAAGGTGTAGCCTGTTAACACTGATAGAGGGAATATGCGATGTTGTTATGTCAGTATAAGAGGAGGAAAGTGATTAATGGTTAGAGGATGATAAGGGAAATTGGTTGAATTCCGTGAGTTTATTTTGCATCATGTTAAAGTACATTTTTCAATGGACAGGTTTATGGGCTGTTAAATGCATAATGTTCTCAACTGTCTTATTTATCCGGACAGGTCTGTTCATAGTTTAATATTTCATTTTGCAGAACGGAATGTTGCTTCTCTGACTTATTTTATTAGTTATAATATGGTGTATTGTTGAAAGTACGTCAGCCACCACCCTAAAGATGGCGCCTAGTACAGAAGGAGGTTGACCCTGCCAGTCCTGTGACCTATCTACAGTCACGGTTGCTTCTAAAGTAACGTCACTTCCGCCCTTACCATGCCCACACCTCCTGTCTTCCTTTCCCTCACATATCATGGACTTCACTTCCTCCCTTGCTGTCATTTCCTTCCCCGCCCCTGTCATGGCTGCCTCCATCATGAGGCCTACCCCTATTATGCTCGTCCTATTTAGAGACATGTTGTTTTCCTTACGCTCTACATATTATGAACTGAAACGTTATAATTACTAAAACAATCATGCCATTTGTTTCCCTGTATCAGAGATGTGTCCGTGATATTTAAAAAAAAAAAAAAAAAAGAGGTTGCTAAAGAGTCATTTGCACCTGTGGTGTGACCTACAAATGAGTTCTGTAGGGCACGAATATAAGAGCATTACAGCTAATTATCCTGATGATTATTCATTAATGCCTGTGTCTTGCAACAAGGGATATTGCAAAATAATGCAAGTTATTTTAAACATTGTATCTTTACTTAATAGAATCTTGCTAGTTACAAATCGTATGTTTACAGTAACATCCTTTACGTTAAATGACATTCCTCCGCCTCCCTGTCCCCCGCCACCTTTACCTATGCTTGCCTCTCGTCCCCTCTCCACCTCGACTGACCCCTCCCCAGTGTTACCCACTCACCCGTCTCCATCCGCTGCCCCGCTCTCTGCCCTCTCGACCTTACTCACCCCACCGCCCCAGATCCTCCAGACCCTTGTCCTCCCGCTGATCCCGCTTCCCTTATGCCTCCGGACCTCTCTTCTACCTCGTTGTCCCCTCCCCTCCCGACTGATTTGCCGTCCCTAATCTCTGCCCTCACTGCCCTGACCCAGCCCCCCGTTCCCACCCCTCCAACCCCTTCTCCAGTGGTACCCCCCTCCCGATATCCCGGTCCCCTCTACCTCGTTGCCTCCTCCTCCCTCGGCCGATTTGCCGTCCCTGATTTCTGCCCTCACCGCCCTGACCCAACCCCCCGTTACCACCCCTTCTCCAGTGTTACCTCCTCCTCCCGAAGTCCCGGCCCCCTCTACCTCGTTGTCTCCTCCTCCCCCGACTGGTTTACCCACGCTGTTACGACCCAGCCCCCTGTTCCCATCCCTCCGACCTCTCCCCCGGTGACCCCTGATCCAACCATGGCCAATGACCTGTCTAGCTCGACATCCGCCCTCTTCTCTGCTGTTACCTCCCTGGTTAATTCCGCGATTCCTGCCCCACCTCCCACTGATTTACCTCCTCCTCCTCCACCTCCTCCCACCCTTAATACTCACCTATCACGCCCATCCCAGCCGGCCCCCTGCTTTAGAGGCCCGTGCATACCCTCCAGCTCCCGCTGATGGGTTTGACACGGGTGGTTTCCAAGATATTCAGCCCCTACCTCGACAAAGCCGCCTTGCCCGTGCTCCTATGCAGTCCAGCCACCCTCCCACTTCTACCCGCCGGTACCAAGGACCCGACCAGGCCCATTTAGATTTACTGCAATAGGTTACCGGCAAGCCTGTGTCAGCAACCCCTGCCATGACCCCTCCTTTTTGTCAGACACCGATGTCTCCTGTGTTGGGGTGGATGGTACACCCCGCAGTAGCCCCCTCCCTACACTCCTGCATGTTGGTTCACACATACTCTCACGTTTTGTTGTTTCTTCTACTTGTCCCATTAACCTCTTGGGTGCTGATGTTCTTTCTCGGCTCCAGGGTCCAGTTAACTACACCCTTATCACAGATAGACACCACTGTACTCTGCTCACTGCCCATATTGTTAAACCTCACCACCTCCACAGGGAATTCACGGGTCCAACAAACCCCCAGTGCTCTGGACCGTATCCCACAAAAGCTTTGGTCCACCGGCCCAGATGACATCGGACGTCTACAAGTGCCCCCCGTTGTGGTCAAGCTCCTGCCAGGAGCATTACCCCCCCCGTAGGCCACAGTATCCTCTGAAACCTGCACAAACTGATGCTATCACCAAACAAGTCGAAAGCCTACTCGCCAAAGGTGCCCTCATTAAGTATGTGTCTCCATGTAACACTCCCTCTTCCCCTTTTTCCCTGTCAAGAAGAGAACTGCTAAAGGACAACCTGACCAGTACAGGATGGTCCAGGACCTTCGTGCTGTCAATGAAGTGACTGTCAATGATACTGCCATTGTTCCAAATCCACATACTCTCCTATCTCAGGTCCCACCTACAGCCACGGTATTCACTGTAGTAGATCTGGCTAATGCATTTTTCAGTGTGCCACTAGACCCCTCCTGTCACTTCCTCTTCGTTTTTACCCATGAAGGACAACAATATACCTGGACTGTTATGCCTCAGGGAGCTCAGAACTCTCCCACACAGTTTGCTCATGCCATGTCTCTAGTTTTGGATCCCTGGCAGAAATCTCATCTGGATGTTATTCTACTTCAATATGTTGATGACCTCCTTCTCTGTGCTCCTAATTTGCTTATTGCAGAGCGTGACTCAGAAGATCTCCTATGTTTCCTCGCTGCTGCAGGGTGCAAGGCCTCAAAATCAAAGCTACAATGGTGCCGGCCCTCTGTGGTCTTCTTGGGACATTGCCTTTCCCATGGCACCAAACATCTAACCTCACAACGGGTGCAAGCTATCCTGCAACTCCCATTACCTGCAACTCATCACTCTCTTCATGCTTTCTTGGGACTCATCACATACTGCGGGTCCTGGATACCTGAAGCATCCAAACTCATGCAGCCACTCTATGATGCCCTCAGGAGTGAGCCCTTTCACCTCACTGAAGAAACTATTAGCTGTTTCCATACTCTGAAAAGAGCTATTGCTTCTGCACCTGCTTTGGGCCCACCCAACTACCAACTCTCTTTCAATTTGTTTGTCTCTGAGAAATCAGGACATGCTTCCGGAGTCCTTACTCAGAAACATGGGTCCAGACAACGGCCTATTGGCTATTTTTCCTGCATGCTTGACCCTGTTGCAAGGGGCAGCCCCTCTTGCCTCCGTGCTGTGTTTGCCGCCAGTGCCCTCTTGGACAAGACTAATGACTTTGTTCTTGGCCATCACCTCACAGTGTTGACCCCTCATGACATTACTGCTATCCTGCAACAAGTTCAACCCAAGCACCTTTCCTCCCAACGCCACCTCCGTCTGCAAACCTCCTTGCTTTTACCTGACAATGTGAAACTCCAGAGATGCCTTACCCTGAATCCAGCCACTCTTCTGCCACTTCCCAAGGGGGGAATTGTGTACCACTGGTATAGCCTGGATATCAACCCAGAAGTTCTAGCAGATCTGCAACTACCTGCACTTGCACCTCCAGAAGTTCTAGCAGATCTGCAACTACCTGCACTTGCACCTCCACATGATGAACAATCAGTGGCCCTACTCCACTGTACTTTGTGGGTTAGGGATGAACCAGGCCCTGATATGAACTATGAGGCAGAAGTATTCCAACTCAAAGAAATCCAAATTACCCTGACTGACTTGTTTTGGGACCTCACAGGTACCATGCTCATCTTAGTCCACCTCCCAGAGAGTGTGACACATCTCTATCACCATTGGGAAACATCTATCCCACACATATCTCTCACCAGACCTCCCGACATCTCGTGGAAAGACCTAGGCCCGATGGCCAAGACCTGGAGTCAAATGAACCAAGAACAACTGACTTCTATGGGGACCAGCAAAAAGACTATTAACTACTGTACAGCAGGGTACCCTAGGTACCACACAGACGTCTGTGAGGACCCACTCATCATAGACTGTGACCCTGATATTTCCCCACTTAGCTGATCAGGCCGCTAAGGAAGCAGCACGACAAGGATGGGAAGTGGACAGAAGAGTGGCCACAGACGCAGTGCCCATCTACACCATGCAGACACTGCCTACGGATCTTAGGCTTCTAAAGGAACAACCAGCTACTGCTACTCCACAGGAGAAACAAAGTTGGAAGAACAAAGGAGCTGTACTCCGTGATGATGTTTACACTATCAATCTCAAGTTTTGCCTACCCAGAAATATGTATCCAGCGGTGGTCCAATGGGCCCATGGGCCAGCCCACCAGTCAAAACATCTGATGAACTCATTGATTGACAAGTATTTTGAAGCACCAGGCATCACTACCTTAACACAGAATTACTGTAAATCTTGTACTATATGTGCTAAATGCAATCCTGGAAAGATTATAAAGACCGCATCTAATCACCTAGCCAAGCCACAATACCCCTTTCAGAGGATCCAGATTGATCACATTCAGATGCCAAAGAGTGGACGTTATGAATATGCATTGGTCATAGTGGACATGTTTTCAGGATGGCCAGAGACCTTCCCAGTGACTAATCTCACCACGAGGACTACAGCCAAGTACCTTTTGACGGAAATTGTTTGTCGATATGGAGTTCCAGAAGTGATTGAAAGTGACCAAGGGACCTCCTTCACTGCCTCGTTAACACGGGAAGTCTGGCCAGCACTGGGGGTGACCCTTGCATTCCACACACCATATCACCCACAGAGTAGTGGTAAGGTAGAGCGCATGAATGGCACTTTGAAAGCCAGAATGCTTAAAATGTCACAAGAAACTAACATGCCCTGGCCCGAGAGTCTCCCATTAGCGTTGTTTAGTGTAAGGTACACTCCTAGGGGAAAATATAGCCTATCACCTTATGAGATTTTGTTTGGTACAGCACCCAGGTTAGGTTGTTACTTTCCCCAACAGCTTCAGATTCAGTCAGATGCTATGGTAGACTATGTGACTGCCCTCTCACATGCCTTGACCAAAATACATGCCCAAGTGTTTTCTTCTATTCCAGATCCTGAGTCAAATACAGGTACACACAAGCTGCTTCCTGGTGATTGGGTTATGGTCAAGAAGTTTCTCAGGAAACACACCCTAGAACCAAGATTTGATGGCCCATATCAAGTGCTCCTGATTACAGCCTCACATTGCAAAAAAGTGCCTGCTCCAGAAGAGGCTAATCTTGCTGAAATATGAATTTATTATGTGTCTTGTGTTTTCTTATGCTGCTACACTTTGCCTGGGCCCAACAAGTGGCCATAACCAAAGATAATCATGTTTACACTTTTCTGGTACAATTCTTCTAACACAGATGTAGCTACATACACGTTTGATTACTGTGACATAGTTGTTTGCACCTTTTCCACAAACACAATATGCAGCCATATACAAAGACATACCTAGCAAAAAGGCTCACCTCACCAGACTGGGTAGGAACCACTCACATGACTATTAACACGTTAAAACCACATATTAAGACTCTACATGACATGGTAGCTATAGCCAATCCCACCTTTGAAGACACTATGACAGTAGAGACTGGGTTTTCAGACACTAATTTGTGGCTAGAATGGATGAGATATAACGCCAACTCACATAATAAGACTAACTGTTATGTATGTGGAGGAGCCAGGCCCCATCTGGGCACAGTACCTCTAAGCCTACCTCCTGAAGTAGAATTATGATGCACAATCCACCACCAACTCCTCAACATGTGAATCATGGAAAAGGGTTTACCCAATCACTCATGGATATGTCAAGCCACCTGATGGAGTCACCGTGTATCCAGGTAATTACACATGTTATGCTATACCTAAGAATACTGGTGTGTATCTGGGCAGATTCCCATCTGGATATTGCTCAACCTACCATAGCCCACCTGTGTCACTGCTAATAAATCATGCAAAGACCATTGGAGATATCTATTGGTTATGTGGTGACAGACAATTGAGGTCCCAATTAGCTGAGCAATGGTAGGGGGGAGTGTGCCCTAACCAAAGTCATAATGCCTATCCACATTATTCCAGATGGTAGTCATAACACGTTAAACCTTACACATGTACACTATAGAACCAAACGAGAGGCTCCTATCCGAGGGAGCTTCGACCCCCATGTGTATATTGATGCCATAGGTGTGCCAAGGGGGGTGCCTAACGAATTCAAAGCAAGAGATGAAGTGGCTGCAGGATTTGAATCCCTAATTCCAATGATAACTGCTAACAAAAATGTCAATTGGATCAACTACATCTATTATAATCAGCAGCGCTTCGTTAACTACACAAGGGATGCCCTACAGGGCCTAGCAGAACAATTACAAGCCACTACTCAAATGACATTTCAGAACAGAATGGCCTTAGACATGATTTTAGCTGAGAAAGGGGGAGTATGTAAGATCCTCCCTGAGACCATGACATGCTGTACATACATTCCAGACAACACTGGGCCCAATGGTAAGGTAACTATGGCCATAGAGAAGCCAGATAGTCTTGCAGACGAGCTAAAGAAAAATTCAGGAGTCACTGACACTTGGGACAGATGGTTTGGATGGATGAATGGTTGGCAAAGGACCCTCTTCCAGGTAGGGACAGCTGTTCTTATAATGATCATCATTTTCTTATCTCTGATCTGTTGCATACAGAAGTACTTACAGAAAGCGGTAGATAAGACTGTGGATGACGTGACCCCTACTTTCCTACATCAAGATATCACAGACCTCGAAGATGACACTCCACACACACCCCTACAATCACATCAGTTCAAACAGACAACTGCTTTCCTGTAGGGACAGTGTAGGGAAAGCGTCTGTCTTAGCAGGCGAGTCTCACGTGTGGAGATGTGGTGGACTAGCCGCCGCGGGTTACCCACGGAGTGAAGTGTTCGATGCTTGTTAAGACAGATGAGCTGCAGGCAGCTAGGGACATATTAGGGACAGTAGCAGTTGTTATGGTAAATAGCCATTTTAGGGGGGACTGTTGTGGAAATAAGGTCTGCACATATTTCCTAGTTAGTGAAAATGTCTATTTACTCCGTTTAGTTATACTTAATATTATTCAATAAATTACTAAACTGACCACTAGATGTCACTCAGGAGTACCCCACCCATCGACCAAACACTCTAATTTTCAAGATGGCGCTGGAATCCTGGGGGAGAACTCCATGACGACAGTAATGACATAAGAAGGCACACCCTGTAGGACGTGCTTTGAATAAAACACTTAACACTTAACCAATTATTGATGTATTATTCCATGTTATCTCTGACAATGCTTATGATGTAATTTTGCTTTAAAAGGGACCTGCCGTCCCCTCTGAATAAACTTTCCTCAAGTTATTCAACAACCTAGAACCTGTGTCTGGTGTGAATTACTTCAGGGAGCGTGCACGCATTGTTTCATTGATTTGGCCAGGGGCAGATACACAAAGAAATAATCAATACTTTAATTGATTTTTCCATTTCAGGAACACTGGAGAATTCACACACAGAAAGTCCGGACACAGGTCAGTTCAGGAAGCAAATGTCTTTATTCTCACCGATCCGGTCTCAGTCAACTCTTGTCCAAAGTCTGAGCACCAAGTACTTACAGTACAGGCATTATAAACAGTATGCATCCCCCTACTATACCCTCACACTAATCAGAAGACAGGTTTTACATCATTACATTATATGGTTCGGCAGCATGGAACTAGGGGATAATGGGATGTGGTTTTTCAAATCTAGCACATCAGATGACGGTTTCCTAGCTACGTGTAACTAATTAACAGATACATGTACTTGTATATGCCACGTGGAGATTTTAAGCCTACTAAATTTTGGGTTTAGTTCAGATCACATCACACTTCTGTACATCAAAACCTTCCTCTTTAAATAGGTCCCAGTGTGTCTCCTACGCTCTATCATTAATCATTATCCATCGGCTTCCCATTTTTAAATTATATTTTTATTGAGGAATTATATATTGTATATTTGCAGTATGACAATGACAAACAGCATGAATCACTGTCAAAGAAACACTCCAACCCTCATAATAACTTTAGTTAATTTAGGTTGCTCTCGGGGCTGAGTGTCCAGGCGCCATCTTACCTTCTGGCCTTAAATCGCTTTGTAATGGTTTAACCCCAAAATTTGTGCTTGAGCTCCAAGCGCCTCTGCCTCCTGGCTTCCTTCCTCTCTGTGCTGCATCGCCAGCAGAAGCAGACATCCCAAGTCTCCCGGTTTAATGAGGCTCCCTGACACCCGCACTCCATGTGTAATATCCCGGAAATCACACACCCACACACTCTAACATACAATGTGTATCAGATTGTGTGTGTTTAATTTCCAGGATATTACACCTTATAAATGTCTTTAATAACTGTCCCTCCACCCCCTTATTGATTACTCACCAGGTGGGTGTTATTTCTTAGCAGGGGCCAGGTCGGGCCCCTGTAGTATCTGCCAACTGGGAGGAAATCATAAACACCCTGTTACTTCCTCCCAGCTAAAGAGACAGCCAGGGGAGGGAGGAGGAGGAGGCAGCAACACCACAAGCAGAATACAGAGGCTGTAGTGAGCAGCTACACCCTCACTCCCATCAGCCTCAGCCAGGATCCCAAAAGGTTAGCTAACAGGTGGCTGCAATGTATGTCAGATTGTTTGTTTATGTGCCAGTCTGTGTATTTGTGTGTCAGTGTGTATCTGTGTGCATGTGCCAGTGTGGGTATCTGTGTGTGTGTCAGGATTATATTGATCCAGCACGCAGTATAGTGTCACACCCTAGAACTAAGGGTATCGTCTTACCGGGCCTTGGAATGGCCGGACTTAACGTACCTGAGAATAGTCGGAAAACTAGCTAAGGTCAGGGACACAGAATGATACACAGCGATAAGGAAAAGCCATAAGTCAAGGGTACCAGAAATAAGGGAAGTCAAAACAAAGCCAAAGTGAAAAAACTGAAAAACACGATCATTAACATACTCTCGGATAACCATCTAGGAGTTTAAAATACCCTTTTGCATATCCGATTGGCTGTACCTAGCCCCTGACCTTCGTTTTTTTGCATGACGTCACCCGCTTGTCAACATCATCTTTATGGACGGACGTGGGGCTATATAATTGTGTAGGTCCTCAGCCGGCGTCGACCGACATGCTGCAAAAGCCAAGCATGATAGCAGATGACTGCCAAACAGCACTCCCCTCTATCTTCGGAAGGTAATTATTTCAGTTTTTGTCACATTCAGAAGAAGAATACGTGACAGTGTGTATCTGTGTGTATGTGCCAGTGTGTATTTGTCTGTATGTGCCAGCTTGTGTATTTGTGTGTATTTGCCAGTTTGTGTACTTGTGTGCATGTGCCAGTTTATGTATTTGTGTGTGTGTGCCAGTGTGAGCATCTGTGTGTATGTGCCATTGTGCATATTTGTGTGTATGTGTATCTGTGTGTCTGTGCCATTGTGCATATGTATGTGTATGTGCCAGTATGGGCATCTGTGTTTGGACGTATGTGTCAGTGTGTGTATTTGTGTCCATGTGCTAGTGTGGCTATCTGTGTGTGTGTATGTGACAGTACATGTATCTGTGTGTCAAGTTGTGTATATGCTAGTGTGTGTGTGTGTCATTGTGTGTCAAGGTGTGTGCATGTGTATGTGTGTAAATAGTTGTAACATGTTGTGTGTGACTGTGTGTGTAGGCTCGCGTGGGGTGGAGGGTGCGCATGGGGGCAGGGGGGGCAGCCACCTCCCTAAAATTAGGTTTTGCAAGATGCAGGATGTCTGCAGAAGTATCAAACACATACCACTTTAAAAAAGAGTGCAGATGTTGAAAGCTGAAATAGTTAACTTTCCTTGTTCGTATGTATTTTATGCTTAGATAAGGTTTATAATCATTAGTACTGACTGTAAGGATATGAAATAGTTAAACTCTTTCTTGCTTTAAAATAATGTTTGAAATAATTATGCTGACTTTGGCAGATGTATTTTGTACCAAGGTCTTTCGTCTACAGGATGTATGACCTTCCTTGACCTTAGGATGTTCCTGTCTCTTCTTTATCCAAATGCTTATCTTTTTCATGTCCGACAAGTATGTACTATTAACTACAAGGACACTATAGATCTCACTGCTTGCATGACAAACCGTGTATAAATGCTAGCCCTGAAAATATACTCATTGAGAATCTTGTTAAAGCACATTTGTGGTGTCCGTGTCTTTATTGCTAACAATGATTCTCCATCAATATTGATTATGGTGACCGGAGAATCGAGAATCGAGGGGAGTTGAGTCCAGAACAGCATTAACCCTTTCAGCTTGGTGTTTGAAGTGGGATACAGCAGGACCATTTGCGATGAGTAGCCTTTTTGTGTCTTGTTGACGCTAATTGTCTATGACCCCTTTTGGTTCAGTAAGTCTGTATCCAGTAGAAAGGAAAGGTGTAAGGACTTTAGTTATATTGAGACTGTAAATAGGTCTCCGGTTTATTAGACATTTGGTCTAAATATATATATGGGTTCTTGGTAACCCAGGTTAGTATCTCAGGTAGATACAGGTTTTGAGACCATAAGAGGTCTCCGGTTTATTATAGGGTTTTGGTAACCCAGGTTAGTATCTAAGATAGATACAGGGTATCTCAGGTAGATACAGGTTTTGAGACCATAAGAGGTCTCCGGTTTATTAAGACTATAGGTGTTCTGAGGAGCACGGTTTATAGATCTATAAGTATACCCCAAACTTCTCTTTCTCCTGGTCACCTTTGTTTGTCTTAAGTGTTCTTTGTGAGTGATTGTCTATATTGGGGACACACTTTGGTAAGTTAGTAGTGTGTCTGCTCTGAGTCAGCAGTATGGGAAATGTAAGTTCTGGTCCTGAGTGACCAATATATATATACATATACATAAGATACCAGTACTGTATATTAGAAAAGAACTGACTCACAGGTTGTACCTGATAGACCTACTTAAATCTTTTGCTTTATTCTTTATGTTGCATAGAAGTATAGTTTATTACTCTGTTTTATTGTAAGTTATTTCACATGAGATCTGTGTGCCTGGTATGATTATTACTTTAATACCATAAGCCCACTACACTTTCTATGAGAGTGGGATAGTGTAAATGTGTTACATTGTTTGCATGATGAGCTCAGTATTTTTATAACTGAGACAAAAAGTCACTTCATTAGTATTTGAAAGTTAATTCCCCGTATGGGATTAATTGTATAGAATACCAATCAGCACATCTTCCATGCCCTGTGTGTTTGTTGCAAAGGATCCATACTGTAAATATGATTTTTGTTTGTAAATAAGAGAGCAACATTTACATTTTCAGCGGCCCAACACATGCTTCATTTTGTGCTGAAAGCTAACCTTTTTTATTGCTACAGATGCTTTAAATGATTCAGCTACTGCCTATGTTTTGTGTCTTCTATGTCTCACAGTATATGTGTTCTTTTAAATTGTGGTATATAGCCTGAATCAGACATCATGGACAAAGGTTTTTACCTGTGTTACAAAGGCTCTTGGAGACTGACCGGTCTAAAGGTTTGCCATGCCTTAGAACATGGTATAGTATAAATTTTTTAAGTCTCTGAGAGTTCTGAAAGATTCGGGTGAAACCATGTCTGTGTAATCTGGTCCAGATGTTTGCAAAATTTCTGTAAGATTTAAAATTGATGCAGCATCATCTCAGATTAGTTAATGGACGTTTTAGACAAATATTTGAGTTATGAGCGCCCTATATAAATGGATCCTTTCTTTATATACAATACTGTAGTAGATTAAAGTAATGACGTTAATTAGAAAAAAAAAAACATGTATGCATAAGAATTCCTAAAATAAATCTAATACAAACTAAAATTGTTATACCTTACAATAATATGTTCTGAGTGCAGCTGTTAACTGTTTATTCTGTGTAAATGGTGATTGTGATAATGTGTGAAGTGTGCAGCTTAACTGGAAAGTGGTTTAATTTATATGTTGCTGTGTTGTTTTAAATTATATTTGAATCAGTTTGTTTCAGTCTAGTGATACTGATACAAATGCCAGCCAAATAACCTAGCAAATAACTGTTTTATTAGCTGTTCAATACTAGCGGTTTGGCCAAGAGTAGTTTGAGTTTGAGTAGTTCTATGAGCTCAGAGAGGCTCTGTGTTGTGGTCTGATATAGCTATATGGGAATGGAGATTTGGAGGTGTTAGTTTAAGACTGCTTTCATATTGTGTCTGCCCGTGTTTCCTAGGAGGACACAGAGTGTGTAGCTGTGTGCTCATGAATGTGTTTTCTGTATTGGTATATCTGCTGGGTACCCGATACGTGTATCTACTACGTCTGTTTTGTGAGACGTCTGTTTTGTGAGATGACATGTAATATTACATTGGATGCTGAGTATGAGTTACATGGTTTGAAATGAATTGGTGTGTTATGTGTTTCATGTATTTTACTGTCCATTGTGTAGGAGTTTAACTAGCAGAGTGATTTGCATATCATTAACGCAAGCATTTAGTGTTTTTACAAAAGGTGAAATGCTGTCCAGCCGGCTAGAATGAAACAATTGTATGCTATCGCTCCTGGAGCAAGAAAAGCGCTTGTTACATCCCACGTGAAAGGGGCCCCGCAAACTTCTCCTGTTCAAATCGTGGCTCCACATTTCCATTTGCAAACTGATTAATCCTGAAAGTCATTCTTTTACTGATAAAAAGGATTGAATGGACAAGATGTCTCTCCCTCGTAAAGGAGTCCTAATAGGGGAGTATTGTCCAGCTCAGAGTTAACTCTACTTTTAAAGTATATTGCATTGTTTGTGTCAAAGTAAGATTCATCTAGAATGCCTCATTGATTATGGGGTAATAATAAAATGGTATTTTTATTGGAGATTAGACAATTTTGGAAATGTATAAGTGAGTTAATCTTAATCTCCTAAACTACTGTATTATATTTGTATGGGTAAAGTGAAAGCATTTTGCAGATCCAGAAGAGGATAAATAAATAATATAATAATCTCACTAGGAGCCAAATTATGCAAAGAGGCTATCCAAAGTACACACTAACGGGTTAAACTTGTTTTCTTAAGAAGTGTATAACATATAGTTTTGTGGTTAGACTTTTGATACTCAATTTGAAATATATCCCAACTACATCCTTGCACGGCCCCAGGTACAGGAAGCAATATGTGTTTTAAAATTTTTTGCAAAGTCTTAGTGTTTTCAATATATTATAACAATGGAAAAGTACCTAACCGCATGTCTGCATTATGCTCATGACACAGACTGTCAGTATTGCAAGCCCTATATGAAGGCTATGCTTTCATTGTCGATGTATATACCCCTAGACAACCTTGCTTTTTATACACAATTTAACTATCCAATAAACTTTTAAAAGCTTATTAATATTATATCTGTGTGGTACACAAAGAAGGGATGTGAGTTCGGTAATCCCGACCTGCATATGGAATATGCTTCCTCCTTGTTCACTTTTGTTCCTTGCTGGTCTGTGACTGGCCCTTTTTGACCCCAAATGAATTTCTTGGGAAGATTCACGAGAAAGATACAGCAGGTTGTTTTGATAGAAAGAAAGAAGGAAAAGGTATGTTGTAGCAGTCACAAGGACTGTGATCCTAAGCAGGCGAGACAAAGAAATTTGGGAGGTGATAGGAGATTGAATCAGAAAAGTTTTAAAGGCAAAGGTAGAGGATTTGGTCAAAGTTTCTAACTTTTGTAGAGGTGGTAACTTCAGCACTGTTTTAATTGTGGATAGCAGGGATTCACCCCAAGGTGCTTGTGGTGAACCCGGTTCTCCTGGTCAAGCTGGCCCCACTGGTATTGATGGTGTCCCTGGCTTCCCTGGTGCTCCTGGACCTCAGGGCCCCAAAGGTTCCCCTGGACCTAAGGGTAACAATGGTGAACCTGGTGCTCAAGGAGACAAAGGAGAACCCGGTGCTAGGGGAGAACCTGGCCCAGCTGGCATTCAAGGACTCCCACTCTGGCAGGTTCCTCAATACCAACCACAACTTTCAAGCTATACCCACACCCAACAACCTCAGCCTAATACACAGATGGTTCATGTTTTTAATACTTTATATATAGTTTTGATAGATAAAACAGTATTAATGCTGGCTCTTAGAGGATGTACAAGCTGAAGTTGGGACCTAGACATTGTTTGCATAGGCTGCGCACTGTGAAATAACTAAAATAAAATAGGATAATAAGTATGCCTAGTCAATATGTAACGTGGTATCCTAGAGGCATCTGCAATAAAATAAGTGTGTTTCCAAGACCTGACAAGTGAGGGCAACTTAATATAACATATGTCTACAGTTTGCTGTCCCTTCCTTATCAGAGGCCACTGGTTTCCAAAGATGTTATCAGGGTCCACAAAACTGACAGACTTCAGCATTCCAATTTTATTAAAGTAATTAATTGAGATTATCAAATCAAGGTTCAAGTTTAGGAACAAAAGTTTTATTGGGAATGTATATGCAAATGTTAGTGTTTTAATATTCATCCTAACAAGCATTTCTATAGAGTGAGTGCTTCTCTCATCCATACAAGGCATTCTAAAGGGAAATTATGTATTCAAATTTTATAAAGGACAAATTCAATGAATTATAAGCAAAACTGAGAGAAGTACATGTTACACTAGTTAAGAGTTTAACTTTAGTCTCTAATTTGAGTTTAGCCTAGGTAATTAATTAATGATGTTGTATTGATCCTTGTGTTTGTATGATTGTAGAGACCGTCCTGGAGTGTTTTTGTCGCCTGATTTCTGGGACTACACATCAATCTCTCCGGCTGACCATGCAATAAGTATTTTGCAATTACATCTGTTTGGTCATTATCCATGCAGGCCGAAGAAATTGAGATACTTATGAGGACATACACTTTGCACGCAAGAACCTGGAAAGTCCTGAAGGTGCAGTGCTGTCTAATACCGCTGGTTCTGTAATAACCCTTTCAGCCATTGGGGTGTTGCACAGAGCATTGTGGTGAAAATCCAGCAAACAAAAGAAGAACTATGTGGAAGCTGACATTGTCTTGTTGTCAGCCATATTGCTACCCTAGCCATTTTATGGAACAAAATGTCTGGTGTCTAAACTGATTTCTTTATACTCTGTGAAAGACTTATTCTATTTTTCTGAACTATGCTGAACTATTGAACTATTTTTTATTTTTATTTTTACTTTTGTAGAGTTAGCCGGCGAGAGAGAGGAAGTGTTAGCTGACCCAGGGATGAATGTATTATGTGTGTTTTTGATATATGTTGAGTGTGCCAGGATGGATTCCCATGTTTTGTGAAACTGTGTGAGGATATGACTGGTTTTGACTGGACCTTTGGAATAGGGAAATGGTTAAAAGAAATAGGACGCAAGGTCCTGGTTATTATTGTCAGAATTTCAAGCTAGATTATAATTTATCTCATGAATTAATATGTAAGAAGTGTTTCCCAATTCCTCCCGATACCCGAGCTATGTACTCACAGGTGCGGGTATTATAAGTCACAAGTGGTGTCAACTGTGAGGGGATGACATGTCTAACACAAGCGCGGCCCCCACTCAGGTTTTCCCCAGATGTGCTTTTTCCTCAAATATGAGTTTTTGCCACTGGGTTTTTTGCCTGGCCCCAGATCATCGGGATGACTGGTAATCCTAGACCCCGGTCCTTGAACGGGGGATAGGTATTATTCCCACTTTGACTATATGCGCCCACTTCTGTGGACAAAGGAGGAAAATAACTGTTGGGAATAATACACTTTGCCCATATTTACGATACAGATGACAGGCTGGTTAGTCTGTTTAAAATTGGTTAACATGTCAGCTATTTGCAATAATATATTTGCTATAAGCCCAAGTTCCATTTTGTCTTAAACATCCAAAAAAAAAAGTGTCTTTTTTCCTGCTGAGTTTCTGTTTCTTGTAGACCACATGATTGCTTGGGAATACCATAATGTGGAAGTGTCTCTGTCCTGGGAAGATTTTAACCGATAAGATGAGCAATGTATTGCTCAAAGAGGGGGGATGAAAGCTGAAATAGTTAACTTTCCTTGTTCGTATGTATTTTATGCTTAGATAAGGTTTATAATCATTAGTACTGACTGTAAGGATATGAAATAGTTAAACTCTTTCTTGCTTTAAAATAATGTTTGAAATAATTATGCTGACTTTGGCAGATGTATTTTGTACCAAGGTCTTTCGTCTACAGGATGTATGACCTTCCTTGACCTTAGGATGTTCCTGTCTCGTCTTTATCCAAATGCTTATCTTTTTCATGTCCGACAAGTATGTACTATTAACTACAAGGACACTATAGATCTCACTGCTTGCATGACAAACCGTGTATAAATGCTAGCCCTGAAAATATACTCATTGAGAATCTTGTTAAAGCACATTTGTGGTGTCCGTGTCTTTATTGCTAACAATGATTCTCCATCAATATTGATTATGGTGACCGGAGAATCGAGAATCGAGGGGAGTTGAGTCCAGAACAGCATTAACCCTTTCAGATGTGTGCTGTGTTTATTAAACATTTTAGCATATGCAGGAGATGATTTGATTGTTATTCTAGTGTGCTCCTTCAAATGGACTGGTAAAAATTATCAGTATCACACTAGGAAGATTGGGCAAAGCAATTTCTTTTCACATATGAGAAGAATGATTAATATAAGTCTGCCACTAGATGTCAGTATAAATGCAAACAGAAGGTAAAATGCTTACTGACTCACACATACCTGTAAAGAGTAAGTAAGACCATTGTATTAAATAGTCTAGAAAGGGCTTACTTGTCTGCACACAACTATCTGTAGGGCTTTATCAGAATATTTATGGGACACATTCATTTTTGTGTGGCTTATTAAAGAACAGCTAGGGAATACATTTCCATTAAAGGAACACTATACTCACCTAAATTACTTTAGCTAAATAAAGCAGTTTTAGTGTATAGATCATTCCCCTGCAATTTCACTGCTCAATTCACTGTCATTTAGGAGTTAAATCACTTTGTTTCTGTTTATGCAGCCCTAGCCACACCTCCCCTGGCTATGATTGACAGAGCCTGCATGAAAAAAAAACTGGTTTCACTTTCAAACAGATGTAATTTACCTTAAATAATTGTATCTCAATCTCTAAATTGAACTTTAATCACATACAGGAGGCTCTTGCAGGGTCTAGCAAGCTATTAACATAGCAGGGGATAAGAAAATCTTAATTAAACAGAACTTGCAATAAAGAAAGCCTAAATAGGGCTCTCTTTACAGGAAGTGTTTATGGAAGGCTGTGCAAGTCACATACAGGGAGGTGTGACTAGGGTTCATAAACAAAGGGATTTAACTCCTAAATGGCAGAGGATTGAGCAGTGAGGCTACAGGGGCATGTTCTATGCACCAAAACTGCTTCATTAAGCTAAAGTTGTTCAGGTGACTATAGTGTCCCTTTAAATCAGGTCATTGGGAGCAACTGTAAACCGTAACGAGAACTGCATCAGTTACCATTTTAATACCTGCCGCAGTTACCTATTAAACGTACAAATACCGGTGGGTGTTACAGTGGCAGCAATTTTCACTGATTACTACAGTCAGAAGATAGAATGAAGGGAGAGAGGTGCAGGAGAGCCCTTTGCACCATAATCCATGCCAGGAACATAAGTTGTTATTGTGTGGTTTTTTTTTCTAAATAAATGTACGTTTAATATAACAATTTACTTTTCCTTTCTTTTCTCCTTTCTTTTCATAAGCTCTTTAAGCTCAGTATTGCATGCATATACATTGCAAACATCTGAACAATGGTCGTCACACCCTGATATTGGGCCGGTGGAATGTTTTCTGGCGTTTAATGAAAAGATAGGTGGAATCCGTAATTGACACATTATAGCACTTTTTGTTATGTCTGCTGGTTTCAATTTACCTTTAACATATACTATGAGAACACAGTGTGTTGTAATGCAATTCTTTATTTAGTCAGGCTTAAAACAGAACATTTTATAGTGTAAGCTGGTCCACTAAGTTTAAAGGGACACTATAGGCATCCATACAACTTACGTTAATTAAGTACTTTTGATGTATAGATCATGCCCCTGCAATCTTACTGCTCGGTTCTCTGCCACTTAGGAGTTAAATCACTTTATGTTTCTGTTTATGCAGCCTTAAGCAAACCTACCCTTGTTGTTACTGATACAATCTGCATGAAGAAAATTGGGTTCATTTTTCAATCAGATGTTAACTTGCTTTACATGTTTTTATCTCCAGTTCTGTAAAATGAACTCTAGTCATACACAGGAGGCTTTTGCAGGGTTTAAAAGGCTATTAACAGAACAGTAGATAAGCAATTATGAATTAAACAGACTTTCCAAAGAAGGACTTTTAAACATTAGATGCCTCTTTCCAGGACGTATTTAAATATGCTGTGCAAGTCACATGCAGGTAGGTGTGACAAGGTCTGTGTAAACAGAGTGATTAAACTCCTAAATGGCAGAGAACGAAACTGCAGGGGCATGATCTATACACAAAAACTGCTTCATTAAGCTAATGTTGGCTTGGTGTCTGTAGTGTCCTTTTAATTAAGAATTGGTGTGTAAATTTGGGATCCATGCATTCATTGCAGATTTCCATGTTTAATAAGTAAAAATATTTAGGTTTAATAGTCTTATAATATAATACACACACACTGAAAATGACTGTTGATTATTAGTACAAATATCTACTCAACCAATCATGTGGCAGTAACTCATTGTATAAAAGGCAGCATGCAGACAGAGGCAAGAGTTGTTCCAACAAAACATCAATACGGGGAAATGTGAATAACCATAGAATGATTTTTGGTAACAGATATTTAGATATTTAGATTTTAATAAATCAGATCTCCTGGAATTTGTTATATATGTACATGGATCCAGCACTAACTCTCCCAGTCTTGTCCTTGCCTGGGTGCAAATAACTTATGCCAAAATATAAGTATCAGGGAAGGTGCACTCACAGGACTTTGTAAATAAATCTTCAAGTTTTATTGTGCAATTATACACCAGAAAATGTGTCAACGTATCAGTCCTCTTTGGGACTTTTCTCAGTACTATCCCCTTAGTTACCAGACCGCTTTTCAATTTTATTAAGACACGGAGGCTCCTATTATGCTGCACTCGTTCTTTATTTACCTCAGCAGCAAAGAAAAATAACATTAAATCAGTATAAAAAAAACCCCAGTAAATAACATGAGAGGTATATCTTCCTAGCAACAGGAACAGCCAATCAGCATCCTCTTTGTAGCATAATAGGCAGTGTCCAGTATACTACTTCCTCTTTCTTTGCTGCTCCCTCAATTAAGTGACACTGGGTCCCATGGTTCTTAACTGTGGGATCTTTTACTTTACTTTATTCATATCATTACTGCGGTTAATATAGTTATTATAGTTATTACATATTAATTATAATATTTTCATGTTTATAAATATATTTAGTTACTTCATTTTAACTTAATTTAATTTATTTACTTCATTTGCTTCTGTTATATGCTTTATTGTATATCCTTTGATAATTTCTTTCCCCTCTGACCTCCCTGGCCCCAAGAATACCATCAATTGGTGCTCAGGGGATCTTTATTCCCTGAATAGTGCCATTGTGCTGTTTTTTCCCTTCATTTATCCGTCTGGCTGCGGCTCTGCCACCAACTGCCAGAAATCCAAGTTGGGGTTTAGTGGTAGTGGCAGCCGGGCAGCTCCTGTGTCTTTATATTACAATTGCTATTTTTTCATTATTGTGAGTACTTTCATTTCTTTATCCTGTTTAGTTATTTATTTATTTTTTACTTGAAGGTTACTCAACCCTTTCCTTTTGGTATTATTTTACTTTATTCATCCCCTTAGGTTTGTTTGTATATTTATTTTTTTTTTTTTACACACACCCCATGTCTCCCAGCCAATGTCCCTAGTGTCTCAGTGTCCCCATGTCTCCCAGCCAATGTCCCTAGTGTCTCAGTGTCCCCGCGGCACCCAGTGTCCCCTAGTCTCCCAGTGTCTTAATCTGGCCCTGTCCAGGTATTTCAGGAGATGAAGCTGAATTTCTGCTTTACTGATCCTGCTGACATGCAAGCTTTAATTGACACTTCCATGGCAAAAGCAATGACAAGGCCCTGGTGTCAGGCCACAATGTCTCATATAAGGCTAAACACTCCTCCAAAACAATAGAGATGGACAGTACCATACCTGTCACGGATGGCGCAATTAATTTACCACCGCGCAAAAGAGCTACTAGTCGGGCAAAATCGACTAGACTTTGGAAAAGGGCAAAAGCCCAATTGAACTCTGAATCTGAGCTCAGGGATATTGAGGAGTTCCCTGAGTACTATATGGAGGTGTACCTGTACTCATACCTGCTCTGCTTCAGCCTGGCCACAAGGCCTCATATAAGGCTAAACACTCCTCCAAAACAATAGAGATGGACAGTACCATACCTGTCACAGATGGCGCGATTAATTTACCACCGTGCAAAAGAGCTGAATGGCCACGCCGAACAGTCCCTGATGACTCATTTAAACGCTATCAGTTGATCCTAAGATTATTCAATTCCAGAGTAAGACAGGATGGAAGCCATCTAAAGACTTAGATTTTCATTGCAAAACTGTCAGGATAAAATCCTGGGCATCTTGGGCTCAGCAGCCAAGATCTTTGAAGCAGTAGAGGATGATCTAGAATTAGATTGCGCTATCTTAAGTGGTTAGATCCAGAGAGTGATTTAAGTTGGCAACGCCAACAACGCGGTTGTCACAGAACGCCACAAATCGATCTTGCTCAAGATTGAGCCCAAATGTTTAACTATGGCTCAACAAGCCAGATAACACAGGCAAAAGGTTTTCTCTTTGGGGGCAACTTTGTAAAATAATTGGGCTCCTTTGTCCAGCTAAACAAACAGAAGTTCTTTTGGACAGAACCAAGGCTCTTATACTCGCCGAGCCGATTTCTTTGAACAATGCACTATACCAACCTCCTTCCCACAAAGTGGTTGTTAGTGGCCTAAGAGGTGCTCCTAAGAAGTCTTCACAACTTTCCATTCTTCCTTACTGATAGTGGG